TTCAGTGTACTTCGTTCGGTTACGTATTGCTCTCTAGCATTTCCAGCTCTAGCAATCCGGGCTGTAACTCATCCAGCTTTAGCAGATCCAGCTCTAGCTGTTCAAGCAGTAGCAGTTCATTCTCTGGCAGTTCCAGCTTTAGCATTTCCAGCTGTAGCAGTTCCAGCTGTAGCAGTTCAAGCTCTAGCATTTCCAGCTCTAGCAGTTCCTGCTCTAGCAGTTTAAGCTCTAGCTTCTCAATCTCTAGCAGTTCCAGCTCTAGCAATTCCTGCTCTAGCACTTCAAGCTCTATAAGATCCAGCTCTAGCAATTCCAGCTCTAGGAGCTCAAGCTCTTGCAGTTCCAGCTCTAGCAGTTCCAGCTCAAGCAGTTCAAGCTCTAGCAGTTCCACCTCTAGCAGTTCAAGCTCTAGCAGTTCCAGCTCAAGTAGTTCAAGCTCTAGCACCTCAAGCTCTAGCAGTTCAAGCTCTAGTAGTTCAAGCTCTAGCAGTTCCAGTTCAAGCAGTTCGATCTGTAGCAGTTCCAGCTCATGCAGTTCCAGCTCTAGCAGTTCAATCTCTCTCAGTTCAAGCTCTCCCGGTTCCAGCTGTAGCAGTTCCAGCTCTAGCAGTTCAAGCTCTTGCAGTTCAAGCTCTCTCAGTTCAAGCTCTCCCGGTTCCAGCTCAAGCAGTTCTAGCTCTAGCAGTTCAAGCTCTCTGAGTTCAAGCTCTGCCGGTTCCAGCTCTAGCAGTTCTAGCTCTAGAAGTTCCACCTCTAGCAGTTCCACATCTAACAGTTCACGCTTTGGCAGTTCCAGCTCTAGCAGTTCAAGCTCAGCAGTTCAAGCTCTAGCAGTTCAAGCTCCAGCAGTTCCAGCTCTACTGGGGTTCCAGCTCTCGCAGTTCAAGCTCTAGCAGTTCCACCTCTAGCGTTTCCAGCCTGGCAGTTCAAGTTTCTAGCAGTTCAAGCTCTAGTTCCAGCTCTAGCAGTTCCAGCTCCAGCAGTTCAATCTCTCAGTAGCCCTCGCTTCCCCCAGCAGTTCAAGCTCACTCAGTCTCCACCTCTAGTAGTTCCAGCTCAAGCAGTTCAAGCTCTAGCAGTCTGCTCTAGCAGTTCAAGCTCTACCTGCTCAAGCTTCCAGCTGTTCAAGCTGTAGCAGCTCAAGCTCTAGCAGTTCCAGCTCTAGCAGTTCAAGCTCCAGCAGTTCAAGCTCTAAGTGCTCAAGCTATGGCAGTTCAAGCTCTAGCATATCCAGCTCTAGCTGCTCAAGCTCTAGCAGTTCAATCTCCAGGAGTTCCAGCTCTAGCAGTTCCAGCTCTAGCAGTTCAAGCTCTAGCTGCTCAAGCTTTAGTAGTTCCAGCTCTAGCGGTTCTAGCTCTAGCAGTTCCAGCTCTAGCAGATACTGCTCTAGCAGTTCCAGCTGTAGCAGTTCCAGCTCAAGCAGTTCAAGCTCTAGCAGTTCCACCTCTAGCAGTTCAAGCTCTAGCAGTTTCAGCTCAAGTAGTTCAAGCTCTAGCAGCTCAAGCTCCAGCAGTTCAAGCTCTAGCAGTTCAAGCTCTAGCAGTTCCAGCTCAAGCAGTTCGATCTCTATCAGTTCCTGTTCTAGCAGTTCCAGCTCTAGCAGTTCAAGCTCTAGCAGTTTCGGTTCCAGCTCTAGGTGTTCCAGCTCTAGCATTTCCAGCTCTAGCAATCCGGGCTGTAACTCTTCCAGCTTTAGCAGATCCAGCTCTAGCTGTTCAAGCAGTAGCAGTTCATTCTCTGGCAGTTCCAGCTTTAGCATTTCCAGCTGTAGCAGTTCCAGCTGTAGCAGTTCAAGCTCTAACATTTCCAGCTCTAGCAGTTCCTGCTCTAGCAGTTCAAGCTCTAGCTTCTCAATCTCTAGCAGTTCCAGCTCTAGCAGTTCCTGCTCTAGCACTTCAAGCTCTATAAGATCCAGCTCTAGCAATTCCAGCTCTAGGAGCTCAAGCTCTTGCAGTTCCAGCTCTAGCAGTTCCAGCTCAAGCAGTTCAAGCTTCAGCAGTTCCACCTCTAGCAGTTCAAGTTCTAGCAGTTCCAGCTCAAGCAGTTCAAGCTCTAGCAGCTCAAGTCAAAGTGTCTGCTCTAGCAGTTCAAGCTCTAGCAGTTCCAGTTCACAGTTCGATCTGTAGCAGTTCCAGCTCTAGCAGTTCCAGCTCTAGCAGTTCAAGCTCTCTCAGTTCAAGCTCTCCAGGTTCCAGCTGTAGCAGTTCCAGCTCTAGCAGTTCAAGCTCTTGCAGTTCAAGCTCTCTCAGTTCAAGCTCTCCCGGTTCCAGCTCTAGCAGTTCTAGCTCTAGCAGTTCAAGCTCTCTGAGTTCAAGCTCTGCCGGTTCCAGCTCTAGCATTTCTAGCTCTAGAAGTTCCACCTCTAGCAGTTCCACATCTAACAGTTCACGCTTTGGCAGTTCCAGCTCTAGCAGTTCAAGCTCTAGCAGTTCAAGCTCTAGCAGTTCAAGCTCCAGCAGTTCCAGCTCTAGCAGTTCCAGCCTAGCAGTTCAAGCTCTAGCAGTTCCACCTCTAGCGTTTCCAGCTCTAGCCATTCAAGCCTAGCAGTTCAAGCTCTAGCAGCAGTTCCAGGCTCAAGCAGTCTTGCTCTTAAAGCATTTCTCAAGCTCCCCACCAGTCTGCTCTAGCAGTTCAAGCTCACTAGCAGTTCAAGCTCACTCCAGTTCCAGCTCTAGTAGTTCCAGCTCAAGCAGTTCAAGTTCTAGCAGTTCAGCTCTTGCAGTTACAGCTCTAGCAGTTCAAGTTCTCTCTAGCAGTTCAAGCTCTAGCAGTTCAAGCTCACTCAGTTCCACCTCTAGTAGTTACAGCTCAAGCAGTTCAAGCTCTAGCAGTTCAAGCTCTAGCAGTTCCAGCTCTACCTGCTTAAGCTCTAGCTGTTCCAGCTGTAGCAGCTCAAGCTCTAGCAGTTCCAGCTCTAGCAGTTCAAGCTCCAGCAGTTCACGCTCTAAGTGCTCAAGCTATGGCAGTTCAAGCTCTAGCATATCCAGCTCTAGCTGCTCAAGCTCTAGCAGTTCAATCTCAAGTAGTTCCAGCTCTAGCAGTTCCAGCTCTAGCAGTTCAAGCTCTAGCTGCTCAAGCTTTAGTAGTTCCAGCTCTAGCGGTTCTAGCTCTAGCAGTTCCAGCTCTAGCAGATACTGCTCTAGCAGTTCCAGCTCTAGCAGTTCCAGCTCAAGCAGTTCAAGCTCTAGCAGTTCCACCTCTAGCAGTTCAAGCTCTAGCAGTTTCAGCTCAAGTAGTTCAAGCTCTAGCAGCTCAAGCTCTAGCAGTTCAAGCTCTAGCAGTTCAAGCTCTAGCAGTTCCAGCTCAAGCAGTTCGATCTCTATCAGTTCCTGTTCTAGCAGTTCCAGCTCTAGCAGTTCAAGCTCTAGCAGTTTCGGTTCCAGCTCTAGGTGTTCCAGCTCTAGCATTTCCAGCTCTAGCAATCCGGGCTGTAACTTTTCCAGCTTTAGCAGATCCAGCTCTACCTGTTCGAGCAGTAGCAGTTCATTCTCTGGCAGTTCCAGCTTTAGCATTTCCAGCTGTAGCAGTTCCAGCTGTAGCAGTTCAAGCTCTAGCATTTCCAGCTCTAGCAGTTCCTGCTCTAGCAGTTCAAGCTCTAGCTTCTCAATCTCTAGCAGTTCCAGCTCTAGCAGTTCCTGCTCTAGCACTTCCAGCTCTATAAGATCCAGCTCTAGCAATTCCAGCTCTAGGAGCTCAAGCTCTTGCAGTTCCAGCTCTAGCAGTTCCAGCTCAAGCAGTTCAAGCTCTAGCAGTTCAAGCTGTAGCAGCTCCAGCTCAAGTAGTTCAAGCTCTAGCAGCTCAAGCTCTAGCAGTTCAAGCTCTAGCAGTTCAAGCTCTAGCAGTTCCAGTTCAAGCAGTTCGATCTGTAGCAGTTCCAGCTCAAGCAGTTCCAGCTCTAGCAGTTCAAGTTCTCTCAGTTCAAGCTCTCCCGGTTCCAGCTGTAGCAGTTCCAGCTCTAGCAGTTCAAGCTCTTGCAGTTCAAGCTCTCTCAGTTCAAGCTCTGCCGGTTCCAGCTCTAGCAGTTCTAGCTCTAGAAGTTCCACCTCTAGCAGTTCCACATCTAACAGTTCACGCTTTGGCAGTTCCAGCTCTAGCAGTTCAAGCTCTAGCAGTTCAAGCTCCAGCAGTTCCAGCTCTGTAAGTTTCAGCTCTGGCAGATTCAAGCTCCTGCTTGGTTCACCTCTGGCCGTTTCCAGCTCCTAGCCATTCAAGCTCTAGCGGTTCAAGCTCTAGCGGTTCAGGTCAAGTAGTTCAGCTCCCAGATTTCAAGCTCTAGCTTCCAGTTCAAGCTCTACCAGTTCAAGCTCTGCAGTTCAAGCTCTAGCAGTTCAAGCTCACTCGGTTCCAGCTCTAGTAGTTTCCAGCTCAAGCAGTTCAAGTTCTAGCAGTTCAAGCTCTAGCAGTTCCAGCTCCTAGCAGTTCCCAGCTCCCTAGCAGTTCAATCTCTAGCAGTTCAGGCTCTAGCAGTTCAGCTCTGCCTGCTCCAGCTCTAGCAGTTCAAGCTCTAGCAGTTCCAGCTCTAGCAGTTCAAGCTCCAGCAGTTCACGCTCTAAGTGCTCAAGCTATGGCAGTTCAAGCTCTAGCATATCCAGCTCTAGCTGCTCAAGCTCTAGCAGTTCATTCTCTAGGAGTTCCAGCTCTAGCAGTTCCAGCTCTAGCAGTTCAAGCTCTAGCTGCTCAAGCTTTAGTAGTTCCAGCTCTAGCGGTTCTAGCTCTAGCAGTTCCAGCTCTAGCAGATACTGCTCTAGCAGTTCCAGCTCTAGCAGTTCCAGCTCAAGCAGTTTCAGTTCCAGCTCTATCAGTTCCTGTTCTAGCAGTGCCAGCTCTAGCAGTTCAATCTCTAGCAGTTTCGGTTCCAGCTCTAGGTGTTCTAGCTCTAGCATTTCCAGCTCTAGCAGTTCAGGCTGTAACTCTTCCAGCTTTAGCAGATCCAGCTCTAGCTGTTCAAGCTATAGCAGTTCATTCTCTGGCAGTTCCAGCTTTAGCATTTCCAGCTGTAGCAGTTCCAGCTGTAGCAGTTCAAGCTCTAGCAGTTCCAGCTCTAGCAGTTCCTGCTCTAGCAGTTCAAGCTCTAGCTTCTCAATCTCTAGCAGTTCCAGCTCTAGCAGTTCCTGCTCTAGCACTTCAAGCTCTATAAGTTCCAGCTCTAGCAATTTCAACTCTAGGAGCTCAAGCTCTTGTAGTTCCAGCTTTAGCAGTTCAAGGACAAGCAGTTCAAGCTTTAGCTGCTCAAGCTGTACCAGTTCCAGTTCGAGCATTTCAAGCTCAAGCAGTTCCAGCTCTAGCTGCTCAAGCTCTAGCAGTTCCAGCTCTAGCTGTTCAATCTGTAGCAGTTCCACCTCTAGCCGATCAACCTCTAGCAGTTCAATCTCCAGCAGTTCAAGCTTTAGCATTTCTAGCTGTACCAGTTCAATCTGTAGCAGTTCCAGCTCTAGCTGCTCAAGCTCCAGCAGTTCAAGCTCTTCCGGTTCCAGCTCTATTAGTTCCACCTCTAGCAGTTCAAGCTCTCTCAGTTCAAGCTCTGCCAGTTCCAACTCTAGCAGTCTTAGCTCTAGAAGTTCCACCTCTAGCAGTTCCACCTCTAGCAGTTCACGCTTTGGCAGTTCCAGCTCTAGCAGCTCCAGCTCTAGCAGTTCAAGCTCTAGCAGTTCAAGCTCTAGCAGCAAAGCTCCAACAGTTCAGCTCTGTGGTTCCAGCTCTAGCAGTTCCAGCTCAAGCAGTTCAAGCTCTAGCAGTTCCACCTCTAGCAGTTCAAGCTCTAGCAGTTCCAGCTCAAGTAGTTCAAGCTCTAGCAGCTCAAGCTCTAGCAGTTCAAGCTCTAGCAGTTCAAGCTCCCGAAAGCGCTCCAGCTCTAGCAGTTCAAACTCTAGCAGTTCAAGCTCTAGCAGTTCAAGCTCTAGCAGTTCAATCTCTAGCAGTTCCAGCTCTAGCAGTTCAAGCTCTAGCAGTTCAAGCTCACTCAGTTCCAGCTCTAGTAGTTACAGCTCAAGCAGTTCAAGCTCTAGCAGTTCAAGCTCTAGCTGTTCAAGCTCTAGCAGTTCCAGCTCTACCTGCTCAAGCTCTAGCTGTTCCAGCTGTTGCAGCTCAAGCTCTAGCAGTTCCAGCTCTAGCAGTTCAAGCTCCAGCAGTTTAAGCTCTAAGTGCTCAAGCTATGGCAGTTCAAGCTCTAGCATCTCCAGCTCTAGGTGCTCAAGCTCTAGCAGTTCAATCTCCAGGAGTTCCAGCTCTAGCAGTTCCAGCTCTAGCAGTTCCATCTCCAGCAGTTCAAGCTCTAGCTGCTCAAGCTTTAGTAGTTCCAGCTCTAGCAGTTCCAGCTCTATCAGTTCCAGCTCTAGCAGTTCCTGTTCTAGCAGTTCCAGCTTTAGCAGTTCCTGCTCTAGCAGTTCCAGTTCTAGCAGTTCTAGCAGTTCCAGCTCCACCAGTTTCAGTTCCAGTTCTATCAGTTCCTGTTCTAGCAGTTCCAGCTATAGCAGTTCAAGCTCTAGTAGTTACGGTTCCAGCTCTAGTAGTTACAGCTCTAGCAGTTCCAGCTCTAGCAGTTCAGGCTGTAGCTCTTTCAGCTTTAGCAGCTCAGGCTCTGGCTGTTCAAGCTGTAGTAGTTCATTCTCTGGCAGTTCCAGCTCTAGCATTTCAAGCTCTAGCAGTTCAAGCGCTAGCAGTTCAAGCTGCAGCAGTCCCAGATCAAGGAGTTCCAGCTCGAGCAGTTCAAAATCTAGCAGTTCAAGCTCTAGCAGTTCAAGCTCTAGCAGTTCAAAATCTAGCAGTTCCAGCTCTTGCAGTTCCAGCTCTCTCAGTTCAAGCTATCCCGGTTCAAGCTCTAGCAGTTCCACCTGTAGCAGTTCCAGCTCAAGTAGTTCAAGCTCCAGCAGTTCCAGCTCTAGCAATTCCAGCTCTAGCAGTTCCACCTCTAGCAGTTCCATCTCTCGCAGTTTAAGCTTTGGCAGTTCCAGCTCTATCAGCTCCAGTTCTTACAGTTCAAGCTCAAGCAGTTCCAGCTCTAGCAGTTTAATCTCTTGCAGTTCATGCTCTAGCAGTTCCAGCTCTAGCAGTTTAAACTCTCTCAGTTCAAGCTCTCTCGGTTCAAGCTCTAGCAGTTCCAGCTGTAGCAGTTCCAGCTCAAGCAGTTCAAGCTCCAGCAGTTCCAGCTCTAGCAGTTCCAGCTCTAGCAGCTCCATATCTACCAGTTCATGCTCTCGCAGTTCAAGCTCTAGCAGTTCAAGCTCTAGCAGTTCCAGCTCAAGTAGTTCAAGCTCTAGCAGCTCCAGTTCTACCAGTTCAAGCTCTAGCAGTTCAAGCTCTAACAGTTCCAGCTGTAGAAGTTCAAGTTCAAGTAGTTCAAGCTCCAGCAGTTCCAGCTCTAGCAGTTCCCGGTCTAGCAGTTCAAGCTCTCCCAGTTCAAGCTCTCCCGGTTCCAGCTCTAGCAGTTCCAGCTCTACCAGTTTAAGCTCTTGCAGTTCAAGCTCCAGCAATTCAAGCTCTCTCAGTTCAAGCTCCCTCGGTTCCAGCTCTAGCAGTTCTAGCTCTAACAGTTCCAGCTCTAGTAGCAGCTCCAGCTCAAGCAGTTCAAGCTCAAGCAGTTTAAGCTCTAGCAGTTCAAGCGCCACCAGTTCAAGCTCTAGCAGCGTTCCACCTCCAAGTATTTTAAGCTCTAGTAGTTCAAGCCTAGCTGTCTGCTCCAGCAGTTCTCAGCTCTAGCAGTTCCAGCTCTAGCAGTTCCAGCTCTATCAGTTCAAGCTCTAGCACTTCACGCCTCTGAAGAAGTTGCTTTCCAGTTGTTCAAGCTTTGGCAGTTCCAGCTCTAGCAGCTCCAGCTCTGTCAGTCTGCTCTCTGGTTCCAGCTCAGCAGTTCCAGTTCTAGCAGTTCAAGTTTGCAGTTCAAGCCCAGCAGTACAAGCTTTTGGCAGTTCCAGCTCTAGCAGCTCCAGCCTATCAGTTCAAGCTAAGCAGTTCCAGCTCTAGCAGTTCAAGCTCATGCAGTTCATGCTCTAGCAGTTCCAGCACTAGCAGTTCCAGCTCTAGTATTAAACGCTCTGTCAGTTCAAGCTCTCCTGTCTCAAGCTCTAGCAGTTCCAGCTCTAGCAGCTCCAGCTCTAGCAGTTCAAGCTGTAGCAGCTCAAGCTGTAGCAGCTCAAGCTCTAGCAGTTCCAGCTCAAGCAGTTCGATCTCTAGCATTTCCAGCTCTAGCAGTTCCAGCTCTAGAAGTTCAAGCTCTCTCAGTTCAAGTTCTCCCGGTTCCAGCTGTAGCAGTTCGAGCTCTAGCAGTTCAAGCTCTTGCAGTTCAAGCTCCAGCAGTTCAAGCTCTCTCAGTTCAAGCTCTCCCGGTTCCAGCTCTCGCAGGTCCAGCTCTAGAAGTTCCACCTCTAGCAGTTCCATCCCTAACAGTTCACGCTTTGGCAGTTCCAGCTCTAGCAGTTCAAGCTCTAGCAGTTCAAGTTCTAGCAGTTCAAGCTCCAGCAGTTCCAGCTCTAGCTGTTCCAGCTCTAGCAGTTCAAGCTCTAGCAGTTCCACCTCTAGCGTTTCAAGCTCTAGCCATTCAAGCTCTTGCAGTTCAAGCTCTAGCAGTTCCAGCTCAAGTAGTTCAACCTCTAGCAGTTCAAGCTCTAGCAGTTCAAGTTCTAGCAGTTCAAGCTCTACCAGTTCAAGCTCTAGCAGTTCAAGCTCACTCAGTTCCAGATCTAGTAGTTCCAGCTCAAGCATTTCAAGTTCTAGCAGTTCAAGCTCTACCAGTTCCAGCTCTAGCAGATCCAGCTCTAGCAGTTCAAGCTCTAGCAGTTCAAGCTCACTCAGTTCCAGGTCTAGTAGTTCCAGCTCAAGCAGTTCAAGCTCTAGCAGTTCAAGCTCTAGCAGTTCCAGCTTTACCTGCTCAAGCTCTAGCTGTTCCAGCTGTAGCAGCTCCAGCTCTAGCAGGTCCAGCTCTAGCAGTTCAAGCTCCAGCAGTTCAAGCTCTAAGTGCTCAAGCTATGGCAGTTCAAGCTCTAGGTTCTCCAGCTCTAGCTGCTCATGCTCTAGCAGTTTAATCTCCAGGAGGTCCAGCTCTAGCAGTTCCAGCTCTAGCAGTTCAAGCTCTAGCTGCTCAAGCTTTAGTAGTTCCAGCTCTAGCAGTTCCAGCTCTAGCAGTTCCAGCTCTAGCAGTTCCTGCTCTATCAGTTCCAGCTCTAGCAGTTCCTGCTCTAGCAGTTCCAGCTCTAGCAGTTCCAGTTCAAGCAGTTTCAGTTCCAGCTCTATCAGTTCCTGTTCTAGCAGTTCCAGCTCCAGCAGTTCAAGCTCTAGCAGTTTCGGTTCCAGCTCTAGGTGTTCCAGCTCTAGCATTTCCAGCTCTAGCAGTTCAGGCTGTAACTGTTCCAGCTTTAGCAGATCCAGCTCTAGCTGTTCAAGCTGTAGCAGTTCATTCTTTGGCAGTTCCAGCTTTAGCATTTCCAGCTGTAGCAGTTCTAGCTGTAGCAGTTCAAGCTGTAGCAGTTCCAGCTCTAGCAGTTCCTGCTCTAGCAGTTCAAGCTCTAGCAGTTCAAACTCTAGCTTCTCAATCTCTAGCAGTTCCAGCTCTAGCAGTTCCTGCTCTAGCACTTCAAGCTCTATACGTTCCAGCTCTAGCAATTCCAGCTCTAGGAGCTCAAGCTCTTGCAGTTCCAGCTCTAGCAGTTCAATGACAAGCAGTTCAAGCTTTAGCTGCTCAAGCTGTACCAGTTCCAGCTCGAGCATTTCATGCTCAAGCAGTTCCAGCTTTAGCTGCTCCAGCTCTAGCAGTTCCAGCTCTAGCAGTTCAATCTGTAGCAGTTCCACCTCTAGCCGATCAAGCTCTAGCAGTTCAATCTCCAGCAGTTCAAGCTTTAGCAGTTCCAGCTGTAGCAGTTCAATCTGTAGCAGTTCCAGCTCTAGCTGCTCAAGCTCCAGCAGTTCAAGCTCTTGCAGTTCAAGCTCCAGCAGTTCAAGCTCTCTCAGTTCAAGCTCTCCCGGTTCCAGCTATAGCAGTTCTAGCTCTAATAGTTCCAGCTCTCGCAGTTCAAGCTCTCTCAGTTCAAGCTCTTCCGGTTCCAGCTCTATCAGTTCCAGCTCTAGCAGTTCAAGCTCTCTCAGTTCAAACTCTCCCGGTTCCAACTCTAGCAGTCTCAGCTCTAGAAGTTCCACCTCTAGCAGTTCCACCTCTAGCAGTTCACGCTTTGGCAGTTTCAGCTCTAGCAGCTGCAGCTCTAGCAGTTCAAGCTCTAGCAGTTCAAGCTCTAGCAGCTCAAGCTCCAGCAGTTCCAGGTCTAGCAGTTCCAGCTCTAGCAGTTCCAGCTCAAGCAGTTCAAGCTCTAGCAGTTCCACCTCTAGCAGTTCAAGGTCTAGCAGTTTCAGCTCTGGCAGTTCCAGTCGCAGTTCGATCTGTAGTGTTCCAGCTCTAGCAGTTCCAGCTCTAGCAGTTCAAGCTCTCTCAGTTCAAGCTCTCCAGGTTCCAGCTGTAGCAGTTCCAGCTCTAGCAGTTCAAGCTCTTGCAGTTCAAGCTCTCTCAGTTCAAGCTCTCCCGGTTCCAGCTCTAGCAGTTCTAGCTCTAGCAGTTCAAGCTCTCTGAGTTCAAGCTCTGCCGGTTCCAGCTCTAGCATTTCTAGCTCTAGAAGTTCCACCTCTAGCAGTTCCACATCTAACAGTTCACGCTTTGGCAGTTCCAGCTCTAGCAGTTCAAGCTCTAGCAGTTCAAGCTCTGCAGTTCAAGCTCTAGCAGTTCAAGCCAGCAGTTCTAGCTCTGGCAGTTCAGCTCTAGCAGTTCAAGCTCTAGCAGTTCACCTCTGGCGTTTCTAGCTCAGCAGTTCAGCTGTAGCAGTTCAAGCTCTAGCAGTTCCAGCTCAAGTAGTTCAAGCTGTATCAGCTCAGCTCTAGCCGTTCAAGCCCAGCAGTTCAAGCTATTTCAGTTACAGCTCTAGCAGTTCAGCTCTAGCAGTTCAAGCTCTAGCAGTTCAAGCTCTAGCAGTTCAGCTCTAGCAGTTCAAGCTCACTCAGTTCAGCTCTAGTAGTTCCAGCTCATGCAGTTCAGCTCTAGCAGTTCAAGCTCTATCAGTTCCAGCTCTAGCAGTTCAGCTCTAGCAGTACAAGCTCTAGCAGTTCAAGCTCTAGCAGTTCAAGCTCACTCGGTTCCAGCTCTAGTAGTTCCAGCTCAAGCAGTTCAACGTCTAGCAGTTCAAGCTCTAGAAGTTCCAGCTCTACCTGCTCAAGCTCTAGCTGTTCAGCTGTAGCAGCTCAAGCTCTAGCATTTCTAGCTCTAGCAGTTCAAGCTCCAGCAGTTCAAGCTCCAGCAGTTCAAGCTCCAGCAGTTCAGCTCTAAGTGCTCAAGCTATGGCAGTTCAAGTTCTAGCATCTCCAGCTCTAGCAAGCTCTAGCAGTTCAATCTCCAGGAGTTCCAGCTTTAGCAGTTCCAGCTCTAGCAGTTCAAGCTCTCTGCAGTTCAGGCTCTAGCTGCTCAAGCTTTACTAGTTCCAGCTCTAGCGGTTCCAGCTCTAGCAGTTCCTGTTCTGGCAGTTCCTGCTCTAGCAGTTCCAGCTCTAGCAGATCCAGCTCTAGCAGATCCAGCTCTAGCAGTTCAAGCTTTGGCAGTTCCAGCTCTAGCAGCTCCAGCTCTAGCAGTTCAAGCTCAAGCAATTCAAGCTCTAGCAGTTCAAGCTCTAGCAGTTCAAGCTCCAGCAGTTCAGCTCTAGCAGTTCAAGCTCTAGCAGTTCCAGCTCAAGTATTTCAAGCTCTGGCAGTTCAAGCTCTAGCAGTTCAAGCTCCAACAGTTCCAGCTCTAGCAGTTCCAGCTCTAGCAGTTCAGCTCTAGCAGTTCAAGCTCTAGCAGTTCAAGCCCTAGCAGTTCAAGCTCTAGTAGTTCCAGCTCTAGCAGTTCAAGCTCTATCAGTTCAAGCTCTCCGGTTCCAGCTCTAGCAGTTCAGCTCTAGCAGTTCAAGCTCTTGCAGTTCAAGCTCCAGCAGTTCAAGCTTTGGCAGTTCCACCTCTTGCAGCTCCAGCTCTATCAGTTCAAGCAAGCAGTTCCAGCTCTAGCAGTTCAAGCTCATGCAGTTCATGCTCTAGCAGTTCCAGCTCTAGCAGTTCCATCTCAAGTAGTTCAAGCTCCGGCACTTCCAGCTCTATGCCTTTCAGCTCTAGCAGCTACAGCTCTAGCAGTTCAAGCTCTAGCAGTTCAGCTCTAGCAGTTCAAGCTCTAGCAGTTCAAGCTCCAGCAGTTCCAGCTCTAGCAGTTCAAGCTCAAGTAGTTCTCGCTCCAGCAGTTCCAGCTCTAGCAGTTGCAGCTCTAGCAGTTCCAGCTCTAGCAGTTCAAGCTCTCAGTTCAAGCTCTCCAGTTCCAGCTCTAGCAGTTCAGCTCTAGCAGTTCAAGCTCTTCAGTTCAAGCTCCATCAGTTCCAAGCTCTCTCAGTTCAAGCTCTTCCGGTTTGCAGCTCTAGCAGTTCTAGCTCTAACAGTTCCAGCTCTAGTAGTTCAAGCTCTCTCAGTTCAAGCTCTCCCGGTCCCAGCTCTAGCAGTTCCAGCTCTAGCAGTTCAAGCTCTCTCAGTTCAAGCTCTCCCGGTTCCAGCTCTAGCAGTTCCACCTCTAGAAGTTCCACCTCTAGCAGTTCCACCTCTAACAGTTCACGCATTGGCAGTTCAGCTCTAGCAGTTCAAGCTCTAGCAGTTCAAGCTCTAGCAGTTCAAGCTCCAGCAGTTCCAGCTCTAGCAGTTCCAGCTCTAGCAGTTCAGCTCAAGCAGTTCAAGCTCTAGCAGTTCCACCTCTAGCGTTTCCAGCTCTAGCAGTTCAAGCTCTGAGTTCAAGCTCTAGCAGTTCAAGCTCAAGTAGTTCAAGCTCTAGCAGCTCAAGTTCTAGCAGTTCAAGCTCTAGCAGTTCAAGCTCTAGCAGTTCAAGCTATAGCAGTTCAGCTCTAGCATTTCAAGCTCTAGCAGTTCAAGCTCTAGCAGTTCAAGCTCACTCAGTTCAGCTCTAGCAGTTCAAGCTCAAGCAGTTCAAGCTTTAGCGTTTCAAGCTGCACCACTTCCAGCTCTAGCATTTCAAGCTCAAGCAGTTCCAGCTCTACCTGCTCAAGCTCTGGCAGTTCAGCTCTAGCAGTTCAATCTGTAGCAGTTCCAGCTCTAGCATCAGCTCTGCAGTTCAATCTCCAGCAGTTCAAGCTCTAGCAGTTCCAGCTCTAGGTTCAGCTCTCTCAGTTCAAGCTCTTGTGTTCCAAGCTCTAGCAGTTCAAGCTCCTAGCAGTTCAAGCTCTAGCAGTTCCAGCTCCTAGGAGTTCAAGCTCTCTCAGTTCAAGCTCTCCGGTTCAGCTCTAGTAGTTCCAGCTCTAGCAGTTCAAGCTCTAGCAGTTCAGCTCTAGCAGTTCAGCTTTGGCAGTTCCAGCTCTGGCAGTTCAGCTCTAGCAGTTCAAGCTCACTCAGTTCCAGCTCTAGTAGTTCAGCTCAAGCAGTTCAACCTCTAGCAGTTCAGCTCTAGCAGTTCCAGCTCTAGCAGTTCAAGCTCTCTCAGTTCAAGCTCTCGCGGTTCAAGCTCTAGCAGTTCCAGCTCCTAGCAGTTCCATCTCAAGTAGTTCAAGCTCCGTTCAGCTCTAGCAGTTCCAGCTCTAGCAGCTACAGCTCTAGCAGTTCAAGCTCTAGCTGTTCAAGCTCCAGCAGTTCAGCTCTACCAGTTCCAGCTCTGCTGGTTCCAGCTCCTAGCAGTTCCAGCTCTAGCAGTTCCAGCTCTAGCAGTTCAAGCTCAAGTAGTTCAGCTCCAGCAGTTCAGCTCTAGCAGTTGCAGCTCACAGTTCAGCTCTAGCAGTTCAACCTCTCAGTTCAAGCTCTCCCGGTTCCAGCTCTAGCAGTTCAGCTCTAGCAGTTCAAGCTCTAGCAGTTCAAGCTCTATCAGTTCAAGCTCCGGTTCCAGCTCAGCAGTTCAGCTCTGGTAGTTCAGCTCTAGCAGTTCAAGCTCTATCAGTTCAAGCTCTTCAGTTCAAGCTCTAGCAGTTCAAGCTCTAGCAGTTCAAGCTCTAGCAGTTCCAGCTCTAGCAGTTCCAGCTCTAGCATTTCTAGCAGTTCCAGCTCTAGCAGTTCAAGCTCTAACTGTTCCACCTCTAGCGTTTCCAGCTCTAGCAGTTCAAGCTCTAGCAGTTCAAGCTCTAGCAGTTCCAGCTCTAAGTAGTTCAAGCTCTAGAGTTCAGCTCTAGCAGTTCAAGCTCTCTAGCAGTTCAAGCTCAGCAGTTCAAGCTCTAGCAGTTCCAGCTCTAGCAGTTCAGCTCTAGCAGTTCAAGCTCTAGCAGTTCAGCTTTTGCTCTGAGTTCAGCTCAAGCAGTTCCAGCTCTAGTTCGCTCTAGCAGTTCCAGCTCTAGCTGTTCAAGCTCTGGCAGTTCCACTCTCAGCTCAGCTCTAGCAGTTCCAGCTCTAGCTGTTCAAGCTCTAGCAGTTCCAGCTCTAGCAGTTCAAGCTCTAGCAGTTCAGCTCTAGCAGTTCAAGCTCTAGCAGTTCAATCTCCAGCAGTTCAGCTCTAGCAGTTCAAGCTCTAGCAGTTCCAAGCTCTACCCAGTTCAAGCTCTCCAGCAGTTCAAGCTCTAGCAGTTCAAGCTCTAGCAGTTCCAGCTCTTGCAGTTCAGCTCTAGCAGTTCAAGCTCTGTAGTTCAGCTGCCGGTTCCAGCTCTAGCAGTTCTAGCTCTCCTGTGGTTCCAGCTCT